ATGTTGGGGAACACAACAGAGAGGTTTTTGCTAGTTTTGGTAGGAATATCCTCTGAGCGCCGGTCGCAGACGGATTAACATGTGGCATAGACTTATGAAGGTAGGGCTGATAGCACGTGAGGGCTTAATATACAGGGAGTTTCGGATTGTCATGATTATGTAATATTACATTCAAAGAGCGGTACAAGACATGCAACCTACATCATCTTTCGCCTTCGCCCTTCCTCATCTGGAAACAGCATCCTCTTCTCTCTTTTTTCTTTGTACTTCCTTCTCCTTCACCAGCATTGTCTCTTTCTCCTTCGTCCTCTCTCACTTTCATCGACATCCTCTTCTCTCTTTCTCCTTTATCCTCAATTCTTCCACCAGCATTATCTCTCCTCTCCCTTCGTCCTCCCTTCTTCCACCTACATTATCTCTCTTTCCCCTTCGTCCTCCTTTCTTCCACCAGCATTATCTCTCTTTCCCCTCCATCCTTTCTCCTTTCCCATCAGCATCATCTCTCTTTCCCCTCCATCCTTTCTCCTTTCCCATCAGCATCCTCTCTCTCTCTCCCTTCCATCCTCCCTTCCTTCCCATCAGCCTCATCTCTCTCTCCCTTCCACCCTCGGCTCCCCAGAGGAGAGGCCCAAGTTCAGGATCTCGTGGCTGGTGGAGGTCCCCGCGGAGCTGCTCACCGCCGTCCACCGCAAGGAAGGGCCGCGAAGGGGCATCGTCTACGCGATCCTCCTTTCTCACATCTGCATCTTCTTCGCTATGAGTGAGTATTGGGTAGTTCGTCTGACCTGTGTGTGTGTTTTGTGGTCTTTGGCGCTTGTGGTAGGCTGGTGAGGGGGTTCTGAGTGAAGGCGTCTCTTCTCCTGTTGTTTTTTAATGTTGTGTGGGGAGTTGCATTCTTTGAGTGAATTTTCTTTTTTTAGATTTTTTCTTCCTCTCTTTTCGAAAAGATTGATAGGAAATCTTCCGAGAGTGCTCTGTGTTCTGCCGCGTAGGTTTTTTCATCTTTTTTTTTTTTTTTGTCCTTCCGAACTTAGATATGTAACAAGAAATGTGAAAGTATTCCGCTTCCTATTTCGCAATGTGTTCGTACTTTTATTCCTGACATTTACCAAGCTCGTGTTAATTCTCGATGTTACCGAAGTTACTAAAGAACGTCCGGAATAGAGACTCCTAGCAAAGGTTTCCTATCTGTCAATAATAAGTAAATATTTGTGGTTTTGCATGTAATAGTATACGAATTGAGTTAATGGTGAGACACATTAGTGATTTTCTGATATCTCTTGTGGTACAAAAATCACTTGACTATTCATTACCTGGCTGTTCTTAATATATCCACCATATCTTATCCTAGCGTTGAATATTTTTCGCCAAAGACATGATCTGATATCATCTAATCAAATTACAAGTGGTTTTCAGTTACGAGCTTTAACTTTACTCCTACTGCTGTATACATTTAATTACGATATAACAGTTGCAGATTTCAAGTGAAACAATATATTAATACCATTGTTTCTCATTCACTGTAGATCCTCTGTATTTCCTATTCTTCAAGTTGATGTTCGACTGGGATGCGACGGACTACTCTAACTGGCTGTTCTACAGGGACATGACCAAAGCCATTGGTAGGTGCCGGGACTATGCATTTGCACACATGATTAACGACAAATGAGCTCGCAAGTTAACGAATTCACACACACACTGACACACACACTCGAGCACACACAGTCACACACACACTCGGACGCACACACACACACTCGGACGCACGCAGACGCACACTCTCGGACGCACACAGACGCACACTCTCGGACGCACACACACACACTCGGACGCACACAGACGCACACTCTCGGACGCACACTCTCGGACGCACACAGACGCACACTCTCGGACGCACACAGACGCACACTCTCGGACGCACACAGACGCACACTCTCGGACGAATACAGACGTACACATAGGTATGCAAACACTCAGATACACAAACACGACCAATAAAAAGAGATATAAAAGAAGAGTAAATAAGTGAAATGATCGACACGGCGTGGATACTAATAAATTCAGTTTGCATTGATGTTTTCCCCTGAAACATAACTATTCCATTTTTGATAAATTTATGGAAAAAACATACTGAGCTGTTCGTATTTACAATTGAAATTCACTTTAAACTAAAAGCTGTGATTTTGAATATTATAGATATATAGATATGTAATAAGAAAAAATATATTTACAAAGAAAAAAAGAGAGACAAGCAGAAAGAAAACGAAAAAATAGACAGACAGATTAAAGGGGAAAGACAAAAAAAGACGGAACTCAGAAAGAAATACAAAAACAGACAAAAAATACAAAAACAAACAGAAATCAATACAAAATCAGACACAGAAATACAAAAACAAACAAAGAAGTGTAAAAACAAACAAATATAAAAACGGACAAAAATGGTATTCAGAAAGAGAGAGAGAAAAAAAAAACAGACAAACAGCAGCTCCCATGCCATGCT